TGATAATGTGTGTGTGTTGTGTGATAATGTGTGTATGTTGTGTGATAATGTGTGTATGTTGTGTGATAATGTGTGTGTGTATGTTGTGTGATAATGTGTGTTGTATGTTGTGTGATAATGTGTGTGTATGTTGTGTGATAATGTGTGTATGTTGTGTGATAATGTGTGTATGTTGTGTGATAATGTGTGTATGTTGTGTGATAATGTGTGTATGTTGTGTGATAATGTGTGTATGTTGTGTGATAATGTGTGTGTGTCTGCAGGTGCAGGATGTACAGCTTTATGGGTGGAGGTTTGTTCTGTGCAGGCGTGGGGAACATCCTCCTGATCGTTTCCACAGCAACCGATTACTGGATGCAGTATCGGCAGTCCAACAACTACATGCACCAGGGCCTGTGGCGGTACTGCATGCCGGGGAAATGTTTCCCCCACAACGACAGCATCGGTGAGTGTTCCTGCTCCACTGCTGCAGAAGACTGCTCACACAGGCTCAATAAAGCTGCCGCGATGACCTGGCGGAGGGAAAGCTCACTTTTACTTGACATGGTGGTAGGCTAACATTTGCCATTTCAGTGTGAATTATACAGATAATACTTGTGTTTAACAAGAAAAACAATTCTCTGATACTTTGATTTGATAAAAAAATTGTTCTAGATATAAGTTATACTTTTTTGTTAGAGTTTCATCTCTTGTGTTTTGGTTGATATATTTAGGAATTCCAACTGATGGATGATGAAATAAAAAAATGTGGTCTGTTATATTTCTTGAGGATGCTTGCTGCTCTTCATCATGTTGGCTTGATGGGGTCACAGCTGAGATCACTTGCACTGACCCCACCAGTGACTTCTATTGACTATTGACCCTGTCCACAGCCCACCTAGACGCTACCCGTGCCCTCATGATCCTCTCTCTTTTGGCCTGTTTCATTGGCATCATCATTGGCATCATGGCCTTCATCCACTACTCCTCCTTCGACAGGTTTGACAAGACCTTTGCTGCAGGCATATTGTTTTTCATCTCATGTAAGTTCAACGCTATTGATTTGTTCTTTGTTTCTTGGCTTTGAGCTGTCATTTGCATCTGTTTTGACTTGAACTGAAGCATAATAAGCAGAATATGTATGTTTTTAACTGAAACTTAGCAGCAGTATGGTTTCCGCTCTATTCAGTCTCTCTGAAACTCTTTTTCTCTTTTTTTCTGCACAGGCCTTTTAGTGTTTCTAGCAATGTCAGTGTACACTGGTGTGACTATGAACTACTACGGGAAGCGCTACGGTAACTGGAGGTTCTCCTGGTCATATATTATAGGCTGGGTGTCCGTGGTGCTCACCTTTTTTTCAGGTAAATATGCAGCCCAAAAAACCTGTATCTGTATAGAATCTGCATTCCGTTTTCAAAGCAGTTCCGTCAAGTTCCTTCATTTTCAACGGTTCCATTGATGGTGTGTTCACTATCAATTGAACAACATTAAGCTGTGATCCTTTACTAATAAAGTGACTTATTTTAAAGCTATAAACTTGAGGAAGTTGCTGTCTAAGCATGACTGCACTCAGAGTTCAGAAGCATTGCCTGGAGAAGCAGACCAGGCTTCTTCCCACACTCAAAATACTTTATAGATGTTTGATTCCTTTTACATTATATCATGTAGGAATTTGTCAAAGCTTCAATAAAGCAGATTATTTACTCCCACATATTTGCGTCAACTATCTGTATTTCAGCGAATAATATTCTTCATTATTCATGTAGTGTTTGTAATAAAGACAACACCTATAGAGACTCTGTAACATTACACAAAGAGTCTCTGAGCTAAACACCTGAAGCTAACGTGGACCTGCAGCTGAAGCTGTGATTTACATGCTGTAGTGAATGCTGCTCTCTGAATCCCCCGGCATGCACTACTGCTGTTGAGCAGGCTTTTCTATTTACTCAATGTGAAGAGATCATCATGAGCAGCATGAGGAAAATACTATATGTTAGTATACTATACTATACATGTTCATCTGTTAGGTTAAGACTGAAAATATGATCAGAGTATATATATATCAATATATCACGGTATATAATAACTAACCAGTAGGTGATGGAAAAAACATCAAGACTATGGTTTACAATTCATATGAAAATGTTATTCATATCATTTGCATGCACTAAAGATGTCAAATAAACAGCCCACGGATAATGTATCAGGACCTTTCATGTTGACATTAAAGCTGATCCAGACACAAAATAGAAAGAACTCATTTGAATTCCCTTTTCTCAGATTGTCCCTGAACATGGCCTGAAACAGACTTCCCCACACTTTGCTGCTTCTGCTCATTAAATAAAGGGATACAATTCCCACACATTTGAGCATATTGTATTGTGTCAATAAAAACGTAATACAATTAAAATAAGCCACTGCATGGAATTGACACTTCCTGATGAATAAAAAATACCTGCCCTCTCTTTCTTTTCAGGTATATTCTATTTGTGTGCCTACCGGATGCATGAATGCCCCAGGAGCTCCAACTCTCATTAGAACACTTCTTATTCCATCACCAGAAATGAGCCAGGCTGTGTGTGGACTCTCACCATCAACACGGTGCCTACCTCTGGACCGTGAAGGATCAAAGTTGAACCAGTTCAATAAAAAGATTTGGGAAAATACGACTCTTTATTTTCATCCCCAGGCGCTGTGCATCTTTAGTTCACTCTCTTTATAATGTTCTTGATTTGTTTAACTGTGCTTGGTTGCAGATGTATTTTTATTGTTTTTAAATGTATCTGAGAGCATTTTTGGAGGCATGGAAGCTGGAAATATGTGACTGAGAGTCCGAGCCGGGCCCGCCTTTAGCGTTATAATAACGGGTGTAACCACAGAGAGGTTATTATATATTATAATAGAATCAGTCTGCATTCAAAAGTACAACAAATATAATTTTTCCAAAACCCTTGGAGTCACAGAAAGAGAAAGTCACATGCGTGCATGTCTATACAAACTGTACTCATGTATAATTACAAAGAGCATGCTGCATTACTCTGAACAAAATTTGACAAGGTTACGGATTACGTTGTTTTATGTCTTGAACTATTTATATAAATAGCTACTATCAGAATAAAAAAGGATCAGAGGACATTGATGTTACACTGTATGTCAAATGAATTTGTATTATTTTTTATGAAAGCCCCAAATATGTATTCGGGTGAAGTAACCTCTCGCTCCGTCTCTCACCATCACACTGTCAGCTCAGTAAACCCCTCTCATCCAAACGTGTCACTTAAAGCAGTGACGCACTGACCGGCTCATCATTTTACCTAATGAAATGGCCACAGAAAGCCGCTTACCTGCGCCTCGAGAATGGCTTCTTAAGACGATTTTATCACCATTTGTTCCATTTACTTTCTAATTTCCCCCTAAAAGCAACTTGTTATCCTGGTGCGCTCCATAAAGGGATTGACGCACATCCAGGTGCGCGCGTTACCTCCATCTGCGGCGGCCGGGTGTTTAAAATGGCTTATCTGCGGCCTCCTTTCACCTTGCATACATTTTTTTTTTTAAATAACACAATATGTATTTTGTAGAGGAAGGATGTCTCATAACTTTTAGAAAATGGTGCGCATTTTGCATCAGCGTTATTCGCCTTTATCCAAAAAAGGTGTTTTATTGCAACCAGCCAACTGTGCCAATTTACATACTGAGCACACGCGTCAATTTAACACACACCTATGCAAACTAATGCCGCAGAGCACTTTTCCACAGCAACTGATTCCCAATAATTAATTTGTTCTCCCTCCATCTGATCAAATGGAAATCCTGTCCTCAAGCCCAAGGATTACAACTTCCGCTCTAACATCTCCCTTAATTGCCTAATAGCATTGCAGCGTGAATTCTGCCTACATTAAGACACTTTCACATTAAGCGGCCTGATTGGAAATGTGATGACAACACCATATCAACAAATTATAGCGCAGCTTTCTTTTGCAAATGGGCACAGGAGCGGCACTTGCACTCTCCCAGTTTTTAATACCGACAATTACAGCCAATTTGGGCGGAATTACTAGGCAGACCTGAATCAGAACAATCCTCATGTGACACAGGCGACATGACTTCATTCAAAAAAACAAACATAAAGGAAAAATGAAGTAGTTACCCGAGTGAATTTACCAGACAATTAAAAAACACTCTGTGGTCACATGTTCAAACTTCAATATAAATCATTTTAAAGTTTGGTGTCAAGGTCGCTCGTGTATTATTATAGAAAGATATAAATTATAAATTACATTAAATGGTTCAGCTCTCATCTTATAGCGATATTAAATAAATATCCCACCGATAAAAACACCATTTTCGATTCGGTGAAACACACACAAATAGCCTATACGTATAGCACGTACTTAACCAGACCCGTCGGAGCGTAGACAACAACAATAACACAAAAGCTGCATTCCTTCGGCAGAATGAAGCTTTTCATCTTTTACATCACCAGACTACTGGGAATATAGTAATTCAAATGTTTAAACATTGAGTATAACACTGTGACATATTTAAAACAGAGCAGAACTGTCTTGAAATGGAAAATAGATGTTCCTTCCAAAAAAGTAAAACAGCGACAATACCAATAAAGTGTTTCAGCACCACGGTGAGCGACCGACCTGATATAGAGCCTGAACAAGTCTTAGCCAATCAGAAGGAGACACAGGCCCCTCACATCTCCCCTCCGCCCATCCAGAGCTCTTATTGGCTGGTGCGTAAATCAATTTCCCCAATCCGCTATCTGTCTGAATAAATGCCTGCTGGAAATCTGCCCTCCCACTGATATCTGTGTGAGTTCAGTGATAACAGGAGCTGAAGCTGGAAGCAGAGCAGATGTTGATGCAGCTTCAGAGGCTTCTTTAATAACCACCAGCACCATGAGCATGAACTACCTGTCCGCGGCGCCCGCGCACAGGTCCACGTCGTTTTTCATTGAGGACATCCTACTGCACAAACCCAAGCCGCTGAGAGAGGTCATCCCCTCGCCCTTCTGCAGCTCCCTGGCCTCCCGGATGCCCATCCTGGATTATGGCTACCCCCTGATGCCAACCCCAATACTGGCACCACATCCGCACCACCATCTCCACAAGCCGGAGCACCACCAGTACTTCTTCACTTCCGGTAAGCATGCGCGGCCGTGAGAGGCCAGACAGACAGAAGCCTCCTGTCAGACAGGCCTGCCTGGACTAAAGAAGCTCCTTCCTATATTTATAAACTCCTTATCTGCTAATTTTATCAATGAAAGTCATGAATATAGAGATTGATATTCAATACTGAGAGTGGGATCTAACACCACTCCGTGACAGACAGGTTGAAATGTATTATAATGGTTGGCTGGTGGAGCATCTGAAGATGTATTCAGATTTGTCGATACTTAGTCATTATTATTTCTTCAAGGATCGTTTTTATTTTTGTTTTTTTCTGCAATAAAATATGTAAAATTGATATTTTCTGATATGTGTATAATGTTTGCTTCTGATTATACTGTAAACAAACTAAGTTATGATTTTACATTCACTAAAAGCCATCGATAAGCCATTATGAAACTAGAATCAACCCAAAGCTAATTCATTGCACACAGTGAACTTAGTTTCTCAGACTATATCTTTATTTTAGATGAAATGTGAGACCTCTAACCCTGGTCCTGTCCTGCAGGGATGCAGATGCCGGCCCTGTTCCAGCACCACGCGGAGCTACCGGGGAAACACTGCCGGCGCCGGAAGGCCCGCACCGTGTTCTCCGACTCCCAGCTGTCCGGCCTGGAGAAGAGGTTCGAGATCCAGAGGTACCTGTCCACACCGGAGAGAGTGGAGCTGGCCACTGCGCTCAGCCTGTCCGAGACACAGGTACACACACACACACACACACACACACACACACACACACACACACACACACACACACACACACACACACACACACACACACACACACACACACACACACACAGACTTGAAGCCCCAACTGCGGGAGATAGGCTACAGAGAGAACATTAATTATATTATCATATCAAATTAATGATAGGCTGTCTAAAAAACAAACAACTGGCTATTTCTTTTTTTCTAAGAATTGCTGTGGTGTAATTCGGAGTAATTGAGTATATTCTATATTAGGTTACATAAATAATACAACCAGCAAAATAAATTCAGGAGCAATCGTTAATGTTTTTCTAAAAAACGAAAAGGTCGTTTTTATTGATGCTTTTTGGTATTTTATTAGATTGCAAAACAATAAATATGGGACTTTTTTTCTAACACACACTCTCTGACACTTCCCCCTGCAGGTGAAAACGTGGTTCCAGAACCGGCGGATGAAGCACAAGAAGCAGCTGAGGAAGGTGCAGGACGAGCGGAAGAGCCCCGGGGACAGGTCCGGGGAGAGGTCCGCGGAGAACTCCAGCGAGAGCGAGGAGAGGAGCGCGGAGGAGCGCGCGCCGCAGCCGGACTACCTGCTGCACGAGGACGAGGACGATGTGGACATTGAGGAAGACATTTGCTCCCCAGACCATCTACTATAGTAGAGGTCGGTTTGTACCGGGCAACGCCACACTGTAAATCACTGTAGATAACACCGGCCGCTCCCTTTCATTTGATACGCGCGTTACCGTTTAACGGGGAACGGTTGCCTGCAACACAATGTTAATATGTATTTAAACCCAGAAGTGGGCCCATTGTTTTTTTGATTTTAATGAGCATTTTCGTGTTGTGACGTCTGATAAAAACGCGGAATATAATAATAATAAGAAGAAGAATAATAATAATAATAATAGTACTAATAAGTATTATTATTAGGCTTAATATTATTATTATTATTATTATTATTACCATTATTTGTATTATTATTATTATTATTATTATTCTTTTTATTTTCAAATGTGCATGTGTGTATTGTAAAATGTCAAACCAATGTCTTTTTTTATTTTGGGACGGACACACAGGCTACAGATGATTATGAACGAGCCGCATGCTACCCCATCTTTTTGCACTTTTATCGCAAACAAAGTTGTCCAAGCTTCTCTTTTATAGCTATCATTTTGCTCTTCAATCAGACTACTTTTTATATTTAATTGTCCGTTACCATTTTGTTGAACATTTTTTAAATCCATTTTTGGTCGATGACAATTCTGTGATTTATATTTGTGTGTAAATTGACATGTATATATATAGTATATAAATGATACATCGATTATCGGCTTATGATACATTTTTGAAAGCTCATTTGTCTTTGTTGTATATACTGTATTGTTATACCTCAATTAACAAGGAATCATGTGGAAAAGTCTAAAATTGAACCACATAAATATAAAATGAATGTAGCATTATTATTATTATTATTATTATTATTCCAGCCGCATGTAATAAGATACTTTTATATTCCTCCCTAAGATAAACCTCTGTGGTCTATGTTCATTACCAGACGGAACCCAAGTCCACTAACAAGGGTATTTCTAATCAAACGATGCAGATATTTACGAATGAAATTCAGGAGGAAGCAGCAGTTTGTTT